AGGCCTCGCTGTTTGGAAAATCCTCGATTCGTTCACTAAATAAAATAAACAATGGCCTCACTAAATATATCACATGTGTTGCCGTATGATTCGCCTCGTCTGCTTTTGTGGTCACTCCTCTCATATGTTGTCTAAGTTAATGGTATGCTAACACTATTCATCGAGTGTGTGTTTTGAAAGACATTGGTCAGCTTTGATTAACACAACACACTTTGTGGCGAACTGAAATAATTTTGTCCATCTTTAAGCTAAAACAATTGCAATGGCAATTTTATTTGCAGATTTTTTTTGTCTATAGAAGAATAGAATGTATTTGTGACAATTAATGAGTGGTTGATGTTAAACACATCTTCAGGCTGAAATTCCATTAGGCTACCACAAGGACAAAAAAATAGTTAGATTCAGTCAATGTCTTAAACTAGACATTCAAGTTATACGATTATGCATTTCATTCTGTCTTGACAGTTTTAAAAGTTATTTTTCAAGACTATGGCCAACTTGGTATTATATCTAAAATGTTTGGTATCTTGCTCTATGTGCACTCAAATTGCTTGTAAAGTCTTGATATAAGAACACACACACACACACACACACACACACACACACACACACACACACACACACACACACACACACACACACACACACACACACACACACACACACACACACACACACACACACACACACACACACACACACACACACACACACACACACACACACACACACACACAGTGGTCTGGAATTCTCACAGACTCATTTCATTTTCAGTTTGGGACTTATGTCAATCCTTTGACATTTCTCATGCAGACAGAAAACACTAAACCACTTGACATAACTCACTGTCATTGCCAACCTCTGAAAGTCAAAGACTCAATCCCTGATTCAAACTGGAATCAGTCCCATATTAACTGGTGTGTTGCTTACAGACCAAACATTGTCCAACAGTTGCAGCTGCATGCAACACAAAGAAAAATGTTCTTAAAGGGGGGGAAAAATGCTAATGATCCATGTTTGGCAAATGGAATATAGTTGGAAAGATTGGAGCAGAGAGGAGTGTGCACGAGATCCAAACGTTTGGTTAGAGGAATTCTGTTCACTGTCTTATCTAAGAATGACTCCAGTTTGGGTAAGTAGCCTATTATGAATATTGTTTTGAACTGAATAATTGATAGAACTAATAACTGGACGGTGCGTTTCTCAAAATCATCACGGGCATTCTGTATTTACTATATAGACCTTATGTAGCCACGCCCCTTTTCCGCGCTGAGCTCATTGTCTTTTGACTTCCGGTCTGTATTTTCACAGCGATCTTGCCTATTTATGAATGAACGGCTCGTTAAAAAAATTTCCCAAGGTCCATTTGTTAAGATATGCTTTACAATGCTTATCATAAGCATTACAATGCTCATGATAACTTTACAATAAGTAAATCAACTTCACCAGCTAATTACTCCTGGACAGCGATGCCATAGAAATATACAGAGCAACCGCAAAAACGGAAGTTCAAAGACAATATTCTAAAGATGGCGGTGCCCTCGTTTCTCTGGTGCATAAGGTCTATAGTTGAACGATTTGGCGTTTCCAAAAACCATAGTTCCAACTTCCAACGAACATTCGCAAACAGCGTCGCAAATTCAAGTGGTTGGAACTACAGCTCTCGGGCTGTAGTTAGAAGTTTCTTAATAAAATAACACGTGGCCTTAAATAGATCACGCCCTTGGACAAAACAAGCAAGCTAACATTCAGTACATGTTATGTCTTTATTCCCTTTTAAATATTTTTTCAGCACGTCATCAATCAGCGCCATTTGCGGGAATTTCGACGGAACCCCCGATAAATCAAACATCAAATAAAGCAAAACGACAGGAAACAAAAACAAAAAAGTATAGTCCTCAAGTTCGTTACAGCAGTATGTCAGAAAAATTATCTTAAAAAATTATCTTACGTAAAAATACGTTAGGCTATGTGGACGAAGAAAGCTCGTCACTGAATGAACCGCATCAATAGGCTACGGATAAAGTGTAGTCTAGGCCTACCTCAAATACTGAATGTTAACGTGATTAAAAATGAACGGCTTTCTGTTGTTTATGTAGGCTAAATGAACTATAATAATATTTAATACATTATTTGCGATCTCGAGTCGATTCATTAGCAGAAGTTATTACTGACGTCACAGTCATATTGTTGAACTAACGGGGTTCAAACCACAGAGATGGGACCGGTCTCGGAAACAGTCGTGACTAGCATCTACAGCGATGCAAGTTACGTCCTTACGGGAAACGCACCCCTGGACAGTTATGCGCAAAGCCTGACAAACAAACCCAGGACCACAGTTTCAACATTTTGACCTTATGTTTTGATAGCCCACAGTTTTAGGAAAGCTCACTAGATATCCATCAACAGCAGAGCACTGTGAGAAGAGCAGAAACTGCTAAATAAAATAATGAAATCATGGTATTTGGGGCTAATAATGAAGGATTAAGATAATGTAGGCTACTTTTCTATCTAAGAAAAGTTCCCTCTCAAATAGGCTAGGCCTATATCATCATATAAACTATTCACATAATTATTGTATTATTTTTAATATCAAGGATCCTCAAACATTGTGTAAGCCATATTTTGGGGCAATATGAACACAATTTTGGATTACATTGCATTTTCAAACTGATAATTATATTTGATATTAAATAAAACTACATTTAGAATTAAGTACTTTGGACCTTTTCATAGTCTTACGGTTTGTGTTCACTAGAGGTTGCTTTTTAATCTAAGTGAGAGAAAAGAGTAAAGCAGGCCACTTCACACGTGAAAGGTGGTGTGTACATGTGTGATTGTGAGAAGCTCTTCTTCTCTCCTGCCCAGTCACTTGCTGTCCTTTTAGGGACTCCAGAGGCTAGTTAAAAGGTGTCTGATTCTCACCATGAATCTAATTAGATCCTTGACTGAGGTCTTAACATTTCCTCAGAGAGAGAGAGAGAGAGAGAGAGAGAGAGAGAGAGAGAGAAAAGAATTGTTCAGAAAGGGGAGAAAAGGTGCTAAAGCAGCAACTCGTTTCTCCTTCCTACGAGCCTCCACCCCCATCCTACTGGCCCCCTCTGAAGAAAAACAAAGACCAGCAAGCTAATGAAGTTGGTAATTAAGAGGCTTCTGTCAAGCACAATGGGTAATTAGGAACTTGCTTCCCTTGGGTGTTAGTGGTCCAGTCTCATCAGTGCTATGGCCTGCGGTCTGACCACAGACACTAGGCTCTCAGACCCTTCAGAAAAACGGAGAGAAATGTTAATTTTCACCTCAGTCTGACCCGAATCTGTTATATCTCCCCCGCCTGCTTTTCAGCTGTTTTTCCCACATTTTGAATCTCAGTTTGCCGAGATGTAAACTTGTTAACGGGCAAATGGAGGAAGATGCGGTGCGTAAAAGAGCAGGTGTGGTTCACTCGGACCTGTTCATTGTGCCTCTGTTTACATGCTAGATGTAATTTGTTTGTGAATGATCCCCATAATTTTTGATTATACAACAGTAAGTGATCTGCAATAACACACACTAGTTTTCTTACCCAGATGGTGGAGATTTTAAAACATTAATTTGACCAAGTAACACAGCAATTGCATATTATCTAGCACACCTATGATGTTGTGCAATGCATTTGTATGCGAACCTCCCCATGTTAATAGCTGAGCCGTAGAGAAGCATCTTTGGAGCAGCCCGGCCCCGGCCCACTCAGCATTCTGCAGGAACAGAGCTTTGCTCTAATTAGCACGTTTACTTTAGATTGCTTGACTGTGGTGCGGATAGAGAAAGTTCACTTGGCCTCAATTAAGCATATTTATCTCCGATTATCTGTCGGTAAGATTTCTGCCTGGGCAAAGAGATTATTTTAAAGAGGTGGCGATATGCGAGAAGGATGAAATATTCTGAAGGCGTGATGTCTTTCAGAGTGGAAAATAGGAAATGAAAGATTTAGAAATTGAATCAGCTAAAAAAAAAAAAAAAGAGTTTAAAGTGAAGCTAATTTGAGGTTTCGAGACTCTGATGTGTGCACTTACACAATCATATTTTTTATAAGATGCCTTGCATTTTAAAAGATATTAATCCAAATGGAGCCTAAATATTAGAGAATGCCAGGAATTTATTGAAGAAAGAAGAGACATTTTGTTCATAAGTTGCTCAATGGCCCATTGAGTATATTTGTATGCCTTTGTGTTATTGTGGTGCCCCCCTTTTTTAACAGCTAGATATGCTACACCTGCTCCACTGATGTGTTATTTGCCACTAAAGGGTGTGAGGCAGTCGTAGGGCAGAGCTTTTACCACCTGAGGCACAAAGTAATGGTGAAAAACACTCACTGGTTATGTGACATGGGTTGCAACATAATGCAGAAATCTCCTGATTAATAGGCTCTAAATGGGTGAGGACAACAAGCAAAGTCACTTATGCCGTTTTAACTAATTAGACACGTAGTTGTGAGCAGGCAAACAACAACAAAGGGCACAAGTTAATTTAAAGTCACCATTAAATTTAAATGTTTTAATGGAATATTGCAGTATTTATTATCCATGCACCTCATTATTTGTTTTTAAAATTCACATGCTCTCGAAATCTTTAATCAAAATAACTTACATGATGAGGTTTACTGGCGCGAAGGCGTCACTCACATGAGATCACAGCAATAGCAAACCACAATGATCCAACCATCCAATCAATTCCTGATGAACAAAACCAAGTCCCGCCCCACTATTTTTTTGTTTGGTTTGAGAAGCCGTTTCACTCGGATATACATCACAATAGGGAAAAGAAGGCTAACGCAACTTCCGTTTCATGTTGACTAGGTCAAGAGTGCTTAGCTTGAGTGTATAGTCTGTGCAACAAAGGTCAAACATTTTATATATATATATATATATATCCCTTTTTTGAATGCACAAGATAACCTGTCCCTGGACATCAGTTATGATGGTGATATCATTTGTAGATTTCACCCCAAATCTCAGCTCTTTATGTTTACCTCATAACACTGAGACAAGCCAGCTAATAACACAGCTTACATCTTCGTCACAGCTCAGCACTTAAACCAGGATGGCTCAACCAAAGACTTTCTAAAAGATACAGTGTAAACAGGATCCTGATTGGCTGGCTCCTTTGATCCAGTCGTGCACTTTCACATTCCTGAAAACCGTTTACACTGTTTAGACTGGAAGTGTCCTGCTGCAGGGCACGACACCTGTGGTTTGAACCCGTGACCCTCTCATCTAAGTGCGGCTGTGTGAAGTTCCCTCTGCCTCCCGGTCAGCGCAGGATCAGCATGGACAGACAGCTGCATATCTCCTCATATCCTGTTAGGCTCTCTGTCATCTTGGACGGTGTATCCAGCCCTGAAGATATGTCACCTGTGCTCAGGTAAAGAAAGTGAAGACTCTCAGTATCAAAACATGAATGTATGTATATACTACAATACAACATAATTCTTTATAAATATTACCACTAAAATATATGGGTACATAAATATGTACATAATGAAAGTAAAAATATTTGTTTTAGTGTCGAATATAGAGGTCTCAAGCTCTAAATACAACGCAGAGTGCGTTAGTGATCAATTGATATGAATAAAGGTGGAATTGGGGTGTCTTTAACAACATTGTTTACATGAATAAATTTGACTGTTGGTTCCATATGAATAAGAAATCGTTCAGGTAACGTCGGTTTCCTTCAGAGCAGTTAAAGTGACATCTGCAGAAAAAAAACAGAGACTTTACGAGAAACTTTTTGCTCTGCCCAAATGACGCGTGTCAATCGAAAGACAAACTGTTTGCATGCTCATGCGCTACCGCTACCATAGTTTTCCCAAGGGCATGAAGAAGTTTTCGTGCGTGCTAACATGCTTTGTGTGCACAATTTAATGACTACATTATTTTTTACTACAAGTTCAGATTTGACATGCTGTTCGAAATGGAGGAGCTCCATTCGGTGGAGTCACATGAGTGTGGTTTATTTTATGATTTACAGATTAGATTACCATGATAAACAAATATTAAAATAATTAATAATAATGATAAAGAAGACTGAGTGTTTGTGTAGGTTTTTTGAAACAGCACATGACCCCGGATGTACACGCGATAGCTTTGTAAAGGAGAGTAAATGTGGAACAGTTAACCTTCAAATGATAATGTTGTGATACATATTAGTGAATAGCTGCCCATGTGAACACAGGAAAATGTTAGAATGAAGACCATAGAATAAAGGCTGGTCTTGACTCCTATATGACAGATTAAAACTAGAGCCTATGATGGGAAGTCTGTCTGTTTCTCAGCAGGCACCTGACAGATGCCTCAAGCACCCTCTAACTTCCTCCTCTCGCTTCACTCTGTCCGAAATTGCTTTGATTGAGGGAGTTAGAGCATTGGTTTCGTGGGGGTTCATCCCTCATCGTCCGGCCTCGACCCTGCACCTCTCAGCGCCACAGGCAGGGGGGAAGATTAAGAGTCCCGGCCTGCCTGGCTGTAGGAATCCTAAATATTAGTGGCAGTAAATCAGGCCTCTATGGCCCTATGGGTAGCTATTATCTTTTTCTCACTAATAAATCCCTCTCCATCACTGATAAGCTGGTTTGCCTCCCTAACCTTGCAGAAGAAGAAAAAAGAGGTGTTTTTAACGAAGAGGGAGGAAGAGAAGAGACAGAGGAGGCCTGGGCGAGTTGGTGGTGTTGAGCTAGTTGGTACTTTGGTCTGGTGTCTAAGATTACATTAATCTTAGAGTTTGTTTAATGTTCGTGCCCCATTAGTTTAGTATTAGTGGAACATCAGAATTTTCATAGCTAAATTACATGTATGGTTCTCAGATACAGAAGGGTCAATGAAATGACACTCAATTCTTTGTCCTGTGATTTTATTCAAAAGTACATTAAATGCAATCAATAAAAATGCACAACATAAACCACTCATATATCATAATGAAGAAAAAATATTAAATGAAATGAAAACCATATTAAATAGTTTTAACTGTATAAAAAACAGCTTTATTGCATATAAATATTTGGAAAAAGTTGTGTATGCAAAATCAAACACATGTGGTGCAACCAACATGCAGACCCCCGATATGATATCATAGGACCCCTGCAGACCCTCATAACTGTTTCCAATAAGTCCCCCTAGTCAATCATTTTAGCCTTTAAAACTCATCTTTGATCACCAAAATTACATATTTAAATTAAAATAGCTTTAATGTAACTCAACATCCTTGCCTCATTTAGTATGTGGTTTTATGAATATGCAAAATAGCCCCGCCCCGCCAGGTCACACGTTGACCTGATTGGTCACAAGGTAGTTTCTGTCATCAGAATCACCAGCTATTACAAACCGCATTTTTGAGACTTATTTTCTCTGCAGTTTTAAGGAGAAAATACTCAGCAATGGTGTTGACATGAATTTGTACATGGTTTGTCTTAAAGCATTTTAAAAACACCACATAGACATATAAACAAACAACATTAAAAACTTGATTTTCACCACAGGGGGACATTACATTGAATTGTACTTTTTGAAAACCTTTTGGAAAACAATGATGTGTACACAAAAATGTCACTTTTTACCTGGTTACACCACATGACATTTTTATTAAATGTAAACCTTTCTTGAAAACAGTATAAAGGTTTTTTATTTATTTTATTTTATCTGGGATTTAAATGATTAAAACAAAAAATTGTCCAGTAATTTATTGCAGGTGCAGACTGTATCCTTAACCACACGAATTTAACAGCAAAAGTAATTTTAAGATTTCTGTGATTTTTACTGGACTGATATTTAAACCCAAGCAAGCTGTGAAAGCTCTGATAATACAGATACCAACAAACATCAACACAGTGATTGATCTGGTAACCTTCAGTTGAGTGGTGATTCAACAGTTTCAGCTTCTTGAGACAAGGTTAGAGAGGTTGTGCGATGACAGGATGCCATCTATTTGATAAGAGTGTTCTTTGATTGTATCTCCTACAGGTCAGAGTGTTTAAATGGCTTTAGGTGAGTTGTGGAGCAGGATCGGGTTGTTTAAAGCAGAGATCTTTACATGCACTTTGCTCAGTGATAAGCTACTGTGATAGCAGATATGGAGCGACATCCTAGTGCAAAACAGTGCTGTATTATTGTACATTTGTATACGTTGCGTTAATATTCTCGGAACTGAGTGGTGAGCTCTAATTACAAAAGTGATTACTAACATGTGCATATATCAAAAGGGCAGTATTATTTTCAAGCCTATTTGCCACCTTATTAAACGTAATAATAGTGTACGGCGAACAAACAGCAATTATAGAAAAAGGCAGCGTATACCACTGAGAACTACACTTTTTTTCACGTACTGGAAAGACTGGACCCCCATTCAGTGCAAGACTTAAGTTTAACCTCATTAGGAGAGCACACACTAGATACATAATTATTCCTCTGAGAATAGGCTTCACTAATACAAATTAGAGTGATAATAAAGCCACTGAGACTGGTCATTGCTGCTCCCTGAGCATCATGTGCAGTGAACTATTATCTAGAATTAGAGCGTTTGTTTACACTCACAGCTAAAAGCCTTTTTGCCAATGTCCACTCATTTATGAACACAGACTGCAGTGTGCACTTTACAAGGTATGAGTTTAAAAATATAGCTTGAATTGAGGAGCTAGTGTTCAAATCCTGGGAAACAGAAATGCTGTGTAGAATCAAAACACTTGTTTGAGTAAAAATCTACGAGCAAAGTTCCTTACTTGGAAAAGACCTAAAAACCTGAACTCATAAAAGTTCAAACTAAGTGAAAATGTACCTGCACTATTAAACATGCATCTTGTCTTCACAAAACTAGTTGGTTTACTGTGGTACTTCAAAAGATGTCTAAATGTCTCCTTGAGGGAAGTGAATTGTTTGACGTTGCAAATACCGTCTACATGGACCATACATCTGTGTTATTTCTGCATTCCTTTTCAGTTCAAGTGACATCACAAGGTTTCTCAATCATGTCATATGTGAAACACTTCAGCCTTTACTAATCAACACTCGTACAGAAACCTAAGCCTATACCTTACAACACTAGAAAAATAGAGGTTTACAGTATTAACACTATTAATTATTTATTAAAAATCTAATTTATTCCCGTGCTGCAAAGCAGAATTTTCAGCAGCCATTACTTCAGTCTTCAGAAGTCCTTTAGAAATAATTTGAATGTGCTGATTGTGCTCAAGAAACATGTCTTGTTATTTCAATGTTAAAACTGTTTGTGCTGCTTAATATTTCTGTGGAAACCATGACATGTTCTTTTAGGATTTTATGTCTTTACTGTCACTTTTGATAAGATTGTGTAATTTGTGTTTTTGCTAAACAAAAGTATTTTCTTTTGAACAGAAGCTATATACGATTATGAAAATGTCATGTTTTAATGAGGCTTTTCTCACTTTAATATGGCACCCAAACACTTGTATTTCCCTGACAATTTTTACTGTATGTCCATAAAATATATCAAAATTAATTTTAATTCAAATGAAGGACATGCTCCTGTGTCAATGCATGGACAATGCATGTGTGACTTTTTTTTAAACTAAATAAATAGATATACTTTTAGAACCATACTTTTGAAAAACCTCAGAGACAAAGCAATCATAACCCAGTCATACAGCATGTAGACCAAATAACCTCTTCACAATCTCATGCCATAAATCACACCTTCTATTGCACTCCTGCAGCCAGTGCTGACGTTTTTCCCTCTGTATGTAAAGGCTTGACCAGGTGCCAAAACTTTCTTCCGCGATTTCACACATAACAACATTGCATTACTCAAAAAAAAAAAAGAGAGAATTATTTTAAAAGGGTTCTTCTCTTGGCTGCATCTCAGGCAAAACAAATCTCTCTGTTTTGATAGCCATGTTGAGCCGGCTGCACCTGGCTGTTGTGCGCAGAGCATGCTCAGAGCGTTCTCAGGGGCCACACTCTTAGGTCACGGCCTCTTATAAAACAGTACATCAGGAGAATTAGGAACCTGACATGAGAGACAACCCACAAAGGTTTTAATCCTTTGAAGGAGCTTGACATTTTTACCCAAAGGTTGATCAACCCCAAAGGGTGCTAATAAACTACAGTGACGAGTGACGAATGACGAATGAAAATTGGGTTCTGGATCCACAATTCTGCTGAAAAACACAACAGATTAAAAGGATAAAGGCCATTAACACTCCAAAAAGGGTTCGTCACATTTAAAAATAACAGGGCATCTTTGCTTGTTCAAGAAGAAACAGATAATACTTTGCTTGTGTGGGCCGAACAAGTTAAAACAACATAAACCAAATGGAATCCTTCACCATTATATTAACAGAGCAATTAAATGCATCATCTGACCAGTTGTATGTTTCTCTGGAAGCCAC